TATATCAACAGTAAAACTGATGAAGCGGCTTCTTTATACTTTTCTTCTGGTATATTATTTAAATAAATATAGTAATTTTCAAATTCTCTTTAATATTTATAATTGATATACCATTTATATATATTAGGAACGAATTTTACAGAGTATAAACCTGGGCACTATAAAATGGTAATTCTCGAGTTATAATCTTTTAATTTCTATAATTTTTTTCAATTTTAATAGTAATATTATCATATTTAATTTTAATATAGACAAAAGCTGATAAACGCGAAGATATTGTTCTTGTAGCCTCAGGTATTGTACTAATCCAAATTCTTTGCAAAGCTTCGTTTTAACACAATAATCAACTATATCTTATGATTTTATATTTATATTTTTTATATTTTGAATTTTTATTTTTTTTTTTTAGAGCCACTAACATTTGAAAGAGCAGATTGGTTAAAAATTCCAACAAATACTTGTTTAGTCATTACTCCAAAATTAAACGTTTTACTATTTCCTATTAAAGATCAATTTTATAATATTCATAGAACAAAAAAAAAGTGTATGTTTTTCAATAATTGTAATGAATAAATTCACTTAATAATTCACTTAATAAATAATAATATCTTATTTATATAAAATAACTTTGATTTATGCAGAAGCTAATTGTAAAATTGTTTACCATTTTTTAAGAATTTTATAAAATCGGTTTGTATATTGTGAAAACTCTATTATTTAAACAAGCTTTTAGAAACAATTTTAAAAAAATATCGTTAATGTTGATGTAAAAAACCTTCAAATACCCTAATAGAGGTTGTGATGATGAAAATAAAATACTTTTCAAAATGCAATAAATAACAAGATAGTTTTGTGACAATAAATAATTTATTCGCATATTGATTTTGATTCACGAATTAACTTATCAATTGAATGTCATCCTATGAGTTAGTAGTATCTGTTTTTTTTTTTCCTCTAACTTCTCGAATTTGGTTTTTTCTATAATAAGTTTGGATTCTATTCTAACAAGGATTGTGTTTTGTCACCGTTTATATAATATTCAATTATTTACATCAATTTTTTAATAGTAAAGATATAAATTTATATGATAAAATTTGCGTGACAGATGTCATGGAAAAATGCAAGAAAATTTTTAGTGGCATAAATGTCAACTTTCAGACAGTTACAAGCCATCTAACCTGCATCCAGTGTGATCACCTGGACTGGACTATTTCACTAGAATATATATTTCTCTTCAGTTCAGAAAGGTAAATAATTTTATAGTTAGAAGATTCATATAATAGTAATTTTAATGTTTATAATTGTTTTATATTATAAAATATTTTAATATACTACTTAAACTCTATTTATTTAATACTATTTTGATAAATCTTCTTTAATTGTTCAAAAAATTATAGTTACAATAAAATTATCATAAATATAATTTATATTTTTTTTAATCTTTAGCAACCTTGGTGGTAATCTATACTAAGATTATTATTATATAAATAAATTATATAATTTTGAGCTTAATATTTAAACCCGGCTGCCTCATGGGTACTCAGGAACAGTCTGCCGTACTGGCCTGAAATTAATTTCACGACCAGAAGGCTAAAAATCAGGCTAGCCATGCAGGCCATACCAGAAGA